CACATTCCCATCTCCCTGTTGAATGTTGAGCTTTGGTTGCCATCAGGTAGTCGTCGTAACGTTGAGGAATAGAGTTCGAGTTCGTCGTTGTACGCTTTGACGACGTCGTGGATGGAAGGTGTCGAGGTAAACAGCAAATAGCCTTATCAAGCAAGTATTACTTAGATCCGAAAAGGCTGCTATATTAAGAAGTTTCTTCACCTCGTGGCATCAACATATCTTCCACATATTTGCTGCACATATATGGTTGCCTTTTGTAGAAATATCTTCTCTGAATATCTTCGACGTTTGTCCACCCCCAAAATTCTTAATAATTCCGATGGAAAAAAAGTTATAAAATGAAATAAAAGATTTTAAATATCTTTCAAGTAATTTCGGCAGTTAAAAGGTAGCATTATTATTAATATCTACCCCATTTTTTCACGATAATCCCAGTGGATGTATAAGCCAGGGCCCGCAGTGACAAAAAAAAACACAGCACTTGGAAGAATCTTTTACATCATATATTCACAACAGGAGCACTTCACAACATAATTCAAACAGATTCACGAAGCTACAGTGTAGGGCTACAACTTTCGTTTTTTGACCATTTTAGGAAATTGGTCATGTGATCACCCTCCCAACAACCCATGTGATACATATCATCATTATTATCTAGTTTTGGTAATGAAAGTGCCAGGGAGCCTAATGAGAAGTAATGAAATCGTCAAGGTGCTCAATGAAATATCCTAAAAGAAATGAAAGGACCAAATGCCCCAATGAAATCTCCCAATGAAAAATCTGAGCCTAATGAAATATCCTAATGAAAATGCTAAGAAATGGTAATGAAAAAGCGAAGGAGCCTATTGAAATATCCTAATGAAAATTCTAAGAAATGGTAATGAAAAAGCGAAGGAGCCTATTGAAATATCCTAATGAAAATTCTAAGAAATGGCAATGAAAAAGCGAAGGAGCCTAATGAAATATCCTAATGAAAAGTTTAAGAAATGGTAATGAAAGGGCCAAATACCTAATGAAATATCCTTATGAGAAATAGTAATGAAAAAGCGAAGGAGCCTAATGAAATATCCTAATGAAAATTCTAAGAAATGGTAATGAAAAAGCGAAGGAGCCTATTGAAATATCCTAATGAAAATTCTAAGAAATGGCAATGAAAAAGCGAAGGAGCCTAATGAAATATCCTAATGAAAATTCTAAGAAATGGTAATGAAAAAGCGAAGGAGCCTACTGAAATATCCTAATGAAAATTCTAAGAAATGGCAATGAAAAAGCGAAGGAGCCTAATGAAATATCCTAATGAAAGGTCTATGAAATGGCAATGAAAGGGCCAAAGAGCTTAATGAAATATCCTCATGATATCTCATTATTCTTGCCTATATCTTATGAAAGATTCCAATGATAAATTGAATGAAATAGATGGGCAATCCTAATGAGATGCCTTTCATAAAACCTGTGGCAGTATACACATTGCCTCTTGGACAGTTGTCATAGATTAATCATAAATAGTGGTAGCCACTAGTGATCATCCCCCATGACCTCCATTGCTCTCTTTTTCCGCCTATCGGTCAGTAATACATCTTGGCATACTCACAGCCTGGTCGCAAAAAAATTGCGGATGAACTAGAATATGTAGGCTGCTCGTCTATTCTCTCGATGGACACCTGCTAGGCTTCTCTCTCAGACCCAAAATGTCAACGACGCATTCTACTTTCAAACTCTGTACCGCCAACACAATTGATAGCCCCGAGTCTTCGCCCTTTAATTTAAAGCTTCCCATCCGAACTTGAATCCAACAAATCGCGATTGGGGAATCCACTCCTTTACAAGTCAGCTAGCATGACCAACAGCAGGGAGGGTTTTAGCAGAGGAAACCGGGGCCCATAGGAGAGTTTCTGCAGAACAGAGGACAGCGGCACCCATACACTCATCCGCCATTTGACTGCCGTGTGTACGCTCTCAAAAGTGGATCTGCTATCTACATACTCCCGCTCCCATTTCTTCTCTGAGCGACGAACGCCGCCGCTTCATCTATCTCCTCTGACTCACTTAGACTAAATCCTCGCAACCTTCCCTCCGTGCTACAAGATGTCCTAGACATGAACATGTCCCTTTTTCTGCTTTCCCGAAAACATGGCATGGACGTAGCCGCATATACACTTCCGAGTCCTACCACTCCTCGTCAAGCATACTGTACGACCGTAAATCAGCTCTTCATCTGCACCTGCCCTCGTAAACCCACATTCTCGATCATTATCAACCCCAGAAGCGTCACATTTGCGCCCTTCGGCGTGTATTTTTCAGGCAGAGGAAGGTACGTATCTTTCCTTAAGTTGTTGCGTGGTTCTGATATCTACGAAAGCTCGTGGCCATGGGCTCCTGCAATCTGACAGAAAAGAATGTGATTGGGCTCACGTAAGTTGGGATTAGACGTGGTCGACGATGGCCTCCTGACACCTTCCTTCTTTCCCAATTGTTTTTCAGCCTTTACCAAACTAGTGAGGGCAAAGGCGGCACCCATGGCTGTAAGACTATGCCTTGTGTACTGGACCCATCCACCTATACCTATTGCGTCGAGCATGGATCTAACCATGCTCTTTGGGATATGGATTGGTCCAGGGTGCCTCCACAGTATAATTTCGGGGTATCCCTGATACTCCATTGATGACCTGTATTTGTTTTTCAGTCAATATGTCAATACCTGCAAACAAACCTCAGTTTTGAGCTCCAGAACAATATTTTCGCATCTGTGTGTGTTTCTTCCACAAAGAAGCCTTGCAAATCACTCCAAATATATCCTGTATTATATTTAGATTTAATAGAATTGGTTCCTCATGCTCTGTATGTCAGAAATGGATGGATTGGGTGACCTGAATTCGGATGACCTTTGGGGATTGATGCTCCTGCACAACACATGTAAACAACTCTAAAAGCATCATTGTGCTGCTCCTCCTCCCACATATATGGACAGAATAAATGTAGGATTGGTCTTTCTTACCTCCCTAAAGGCATTTCCAGCCTGATATTGGGCAGAAACGGGTGTTGCAGTTTCAAAAATGTGTCAAATCTTCGTATTGTAGAGGCTGCAGACAAACTAATGTAAACAATTAGAAGACAGGTGAAAGACGACACTACTCGTCCTCTTCCACCAGGGACTCCAGGAGGGGATCCAGAGCAGAACCAGGTCCCTCGTTACTCTCCTCTTGGCTACCAAATGGTACGAGTGGCTTATCCCATAGCCGTGTAAAGCGAAGGCAAAGACCACGTTGTATACCCGCCTGCCGGGTCGCGTACGCCCTTATACCTTCACGCATCGCCCCATCCTGACTTTCCCATCCCTCTCGACGCTGTTCCCACCACATAGCCCTCCACTCCAACGTCTTGCGAACCCTTCGCATTTCTTCCTTCAACAACATTACCTCCTCTGTCCACCTCAAAAATCGTGCGCGAGCCTTGGCCCATTCAATGCGGACCGCTACCAAAGGCCCAATCAGTTTCAGCATACCAATTTAAGAAAAGAGATCACTTACCTTCATGTAGCTCTGCATCGCTACCATCCCCGATCGCGTCCGCGCTCATCCAAATCCACGAGACAGTCTTCTTCCCTTGTCCAAGACCCAATTTGTCGATCTTGCGCTGTTTTTTCGATCGTTCACGTCCATCGAGGCCCACTGGATCATTTGGGTCGTAGATGCTGATCTCCTCACCATCGGGGGTGGTGAGGTCCCCTTTGCTCAATTTACGCAGGGTCTTCTCCCACTCCCCCGGACCCAATAATTCCAGCAGCGCCTTCCGGCTGTTTCGGTATTTCACAGCCAAAGACTTCGTTTTGTCTTCCAGGCGATCAAGAGTATCTTTGGCCCTTGTGTTTGGGTTTTGTCCCCGAATATTGCGATTACGGAAGCCAATGAATGCGAGTCGGCCTCGTTGCACATTTCGGATTTTGTCCAATATGTCATGACACTGCGCTTTGCGCAGTTTTATCTTGATGTCGACGAGCACCGTACTGCAGTTGTGGGTGCGCTGGGCAGAAGGAAGAGCCGAGGGGAGCCAAAGGGGTTGATGCTCAGGTTCGACGCTGTCACGTTGGGTTTCGGGAAGCTCTCTCTGAATTGACTCATGCTCCACGGACATCACGGTAGCGGCCGGCATGTAGAGTGCTTGAAGATTGCGGAAGCGCTTGATTTCGCGTTGGAGCAGCAGGCAGCGCCGTTGCAACTCGTTCTCTTGTCGAATAGTGAGCTCAGCAGGGTTTCTTGAGTCCCAAATAATTCTATGTCTGTTGAATAGTGAGCAACGGCAATCAATCGATCAAAGCAAAAATAACTTACTGTGATTCCTCGATAATTAAGCCCATAGAAAGAAATGATGTCGGTCCGGTGTCGTGAAGCTGGGGCATACCCGCCGCCGCCTGCTTTTTTTCCTCCTCAAGCAGCTGTTTCTTTACCTCATCCTGAGATGCATCTGAAAAAGAATTAGGTGGGGGAGAGACAGAGACATGCCTCGACTCACGAGACACCACAGAGAGATACGGATTTTTCTTCTTGGGGTCTTTCTCCCAATCCAATATCATCTGGGTCCATTCTTTCTCCAGCCCCCCTTTCTCCGCCAACGAAGCACTGAAATCCTCAAAAATAGATTGTTGACGCTTCTGTTCAGGTATTGCGAGTAGAAGGCGAGTATGTAATGTCCGGCCTAGATCAAACGGTTGAACCAGATGAGTTGCAAGATGAAGGGAAAGCGTACCAAGGGCGACATATTTTCTGAAATTGTGGTGTCCAAGGTGATCGTCGAGCATATCATGCCTAGACCCAGGACCCATCTCTTTTGTGCTGTTGGCCACTCGGTTCAGCTCTGCCCAACTCTGCTCTATTCCCTCGCCATCAGTTCGACCAATGCCAGATTTGAAGTTTAAGGAGTGGGGTGCCTGACATGGCACCTTGTGCATAGGGCAATGGCACTTGGGGATACCCCATTCAACGGCGACAGAAGATGGGAGGTGTATTGCTGCCGGTAGTTTGGGTATACGCTTCGCGAACTTGAGCTTGAACTGGCAAGCAATATCGTAAGAGACGAAAACAGCCGCGACGAGGAGCGGGGCTAGGGCGGAAAGCAAAATGTAGTCCATATTACAATACCTAGAGCACATTGTCAGCTTCAGTAATAGATGGATAATAGACCATGTACCGTTCCCCTTTCTGAAGGTCTCCCACACCACCAGCGCGAATGATTTCGTGTCGCGCACAGACACACATTCCTACCCCTGTCGACCGTAAGCCCGTCGAAAACTGGGTCTCAGTGTTGGCTAATGTCTTGAAACCGCTACATGTGCTAATCTTCAATATTGTTACTTTGAAATACAACCTGGGATAATGCGCGAGACTTACATCTTTCTGAGTTGCATATTTTAGAATGTGCTTTTGATACGGCGCGTCTTCTGGGAAGTAAGCGAAGCCGGTGTGAAGACCGGGATCCTTCTTTAAGCTTGAACACATTAAATTTTTCAGTCGGAAATTGGCGTCCATGGCAACAATGAGAACATATAAAAACCTGGTGTCACATCAACAGTCGTTAGCACATGGAACTTGGTCTGGATTTGAAACAACAGACTTGGACGCTAAGTCGACGTCTTTCCAGTTTTCTGGGAGGTTAACATTGGGGATTGGGCATGCTGGACAGATAGTTGCAAGATCCCCTCAACTCGTTGATACCAAACCGCCCTCGACATTCCCCCGTCCATGCCGTTTCATTAGCTTGAGATGATGAAATTCGCGGATCATGCGCATGAATGATTTGTAGCGTGTCTAGATAAGAAAACAGGTGTTATGCCGTGTCAAGACTAATCAAACAGGCTGTTTACCTTTGGGATACTCAGCTCAGTGTTGTCAGTCAGATACTCGAGGGATTTGTAAAATTCGTGAGCGGATAATTTCCCCATAAGGGTAACAACGTGGAACAACTCCAGCAGTCGGAAGGTTGCACACGTTTGGGGGTGGTGAATCGTCGCAGGGAACCATTCGCTTCGCATCAGCTGTTGGCGATCCGATATCGTTCGTTTGTCACAGCCGCAAAAATCGACGGCGACGTTGTGCAAGCCATTTGTGTGCATAACGATGAAGTCTTTGTGGCCGGGGTGAGGAGCCACGCAGACGGAGTTAATGTGTCCCAGTTGTACGCGAAGACCCATCGACTTGAGGGTCACCTTTTCGAAGAAATTACCATTCCAACGCTAGTCATAGGTTAGCCCACTTGAAGCAAGATTTACAAAGCTGACTTACCTGGATGATGTGGAGCGGGAGATGGCTATGCCGAGTCAAACAGCAACTTGAGCATTGCAGAAGCCGGCCCATGCAATCCTCGCACCGATAGATCGCTTGCGCGGATGGACAGGTTGTGCACTGTGCATGAGAAGCGGCGTCGCCCCTTCCTTCCAACCTCAGCATCTCCTGGAGGTATTCATCCCGAAAGCCTGGGTCTGACTTTTCCCCCCCAGCCCATTCCCGTAACGGAGCATCCTACAAGATGTCAGAGCCTTCAAATAAAAATTATGGCCTGGCACTCACTGAGGTTGGGTAACGCTTCGCGGCAACCTTGGCTGCCACAGTAGGTACTTCTTCAATCTCATTCACCGCCTCGTCCTCGGAAACGCCATGATTGGCCGTTTCGCAGTCGTAATCGGTACTGGGATGCCATTCGTACACCGGAGATGGAACGCGACAAGGCGGGATGGCGCCTTTTTGGGGGGAGCGAGGAGTCTGGATTATGTTGAGCCCAGTCTTGGAGAGCCGAATGGTACGTGCTTGGGGAATCACTATATCATCCTCGCTGTTGGAACCACGAACGACGACGAAGCCCTTCTTGCGTGTGGGCTTAGGCATGGGTGGTGGGAAAATATTTGAAGTCGGCGGCTATTATACTTAGACACCTCACAAATCCTTTGTAGTCAGCAAGTTTTATATCCACGCAACGTTACAATTGGCAAGTTCACGCGTTACAATTACCAAGGCTAAGTATAAGAAATAATTAATGAGGTACTACGAAAGTCCTAGAAATGAAGCATTGTATTCTCTTCTTCAAGCCTTTCCTGTGCCTCCCATGCAGCCCGTTCTTTCGCTTGAGCAAGGGAATCCTCTAAGCAAAGCTCGATCCCCTCCAAACCCGATGTGTCTATGCGGGTACGAAGCGACGACACGATTTCCTTGGCGGCTTTGTTCATTTCCACCATCCAAAGCGAGTCTTCAGGCACGGGGCCGTCTTGTATGTTTTTTGGGAAAACGCCAGCAAGCCAGCAGAGCTTCTTTTTGAGTACCTTACAAAAACTGTCAGGAGGCCATTCGGCCTGTAGTCAGCACAATGTACTTACTTTTAACCATTCGCGGGGGATGTGGTCATCATAGCCAGCATCATCAAGAAAAGCTTCG